TGACTCGACAACATTTGTGAGTACCATTCAAGGGTTTGGATGCCTACCGGTTGAACCTACAATGGGTCATTATTGAAGAGCGACAGATCAAGACTTCTAATCAAAGGCATAGACATCGGTACATTTTGAAGATTATTTGCTTGCCCTTTTGCTCCTCTATCGAAATTCGTGTCCAAAAAAGTATCATCTCATTTAAAGGAAGAGGGAAGCCCAGCCCTAGCCGGGCGACCCGACTGGTGAAGAATGAACGATCACGGGTATCATTGGCTATAGTCAGTCAATGGATTTTGAACTCATATTTAAGTAGAGGTCTCGGGTGTGGTCAAACATTCTGCAGTCTTCTCTGTTCCGGAATCCTCCACAACTTCAATGGGATCTTATGCTTCTGGAGTCGGTCAGTATCTTCATATTTTCACAGCTGAAGAGCTCGTCATGCGACCCGGGCGCTGCCATCGTGAACGTTTCTCAGCTTCTTTCTAGCACTTGTAGTAAGACTCGAAAGTATTAGGTTGGAGCATAAGTCTTTGGACCTTTTGCAATTACTTTCAATTTTATTTTTTTTTCACGACAACTAACACCCAAACTATACATGCACCGTCACTAATGAAAAGGAATTGCCATTTATAAAGCAACTTGTGGATCTTGCTTACATGGAATTCCTGGGATTTCGAGGAGGAAAACTCGCCGATGCGCGTCTCGAGTTGATCCACATCATCAAACTTCTTATTTCTCAGATGGTTTGACAGCGACAGGAGCAGGTAATAATTCGTTAGAGCCAGGTCTGGTGAATAAGGCTGGTGGATCAGAAAATGCCATCCCAAGCTTTGGATTTCTTCTGGGTCTCCTTCGATATGTGTGGGCGAGCACTGTCGTGAAGAAAGTAAACTTTCTTCTGTTTCTCTCGTAGATCTGCAGCAATAAGGTTCGCAGAGNACACAAAGCTTTGGTGCTTGAAGTGGAGTTTGGTGGCAGCAAGTCCCAGTGAATGACCCTTCCGAATGGCTCGAAACGCTAAGCATTAACTTCACATGTTAGAGTTCTGTTTTGGGGGTGGGGATTTCATGCTCGTCCGAGCCACTGGCGCTTCCTTGTATGGTTTACTTAGAGAACACCCTTCTTTTCGTCGCTGATGATTAAGTGTTCCAGCCATGAATCTCCACTCATTTGGAGTTGGTGACCACCCACCTCACGACTTATCCGTATCTCCATATCTTGAGGTATTTACAAGGCGACGCAAATGGGTATCTACTGTGCCGTGATGGCTATTGAGCTCCTGTTTCAACTGGTGGGTACTACACCTAGAATCCTGTTCGAACATTTTCGGGAGGTGGTCATTATTCAGGTCAACTGGTCTCCCAGATCGTGGTTTTTCGGACTAGTCAAAGTCACTGGTTTCAACTTGTGGTACAAATTTCTTATTGTGCTGTGAATGAGAACATTGAGGATCGCATCACATATTATCTCTGTCGCTTAATTCAGATTAACGTATTTTCTGAACTTATAGAGCAGAGGTGGTTTAACTTGCTTTGAGTCTAGACCGATCCTTGCAGCCATAACCGTTGCGAAGTGCAACGGCAGATACGGTATGAAGAGCGCATCGGCCTGCTCTTAAATATGTATGTTTCGCAGTGAACGCTTTGAAGAAACAACAAAGATTTCAGAACATGATAACGAAAATGTGCAGACTTATGCGCCAACCTAATAATTGGATCACAAATTTTGGGCTTTCTTACAGCTTGACTCATATAAACTATTCTTATAGTGCTCGTGATCGTCTGCACATTGCTCATCTTCGGTGCAGAGTCGGATGACGAGAATATCGAACAAGCTCTCAACGGTACCGAGGATTCCGTAGAAACTGACAACGAAGACTCCATTGGAGCTGAANGAGGTGGTCATTATTCAGGTCAACTGGTCTCCCAGATCATGGTTTTTCGGACTAGTCAAAGTCACTGGTTTTCAACTTGTGGTACAAATTTCTAATAGTGCTGTGAGTGAGAATGGAGGATCGCATCACATATTATCTCTGTCGCTTGATTCAGATTGACGTATTTTCTGAACTTATAAAGCAGAGGTGGTTTAACTTGCTTTGAGTCTAGACCGATTCTTGCAGCCATAACCGTTGCGAAGTGCTACGGCAGATATGGTATGAAGAGCGCATCGGCCTGCTCTTAAATATGTATGTTTCGCAGTGAACGCTTTGAAG